GAGCTCCAAGATGCTCACTGTATTTCAAAATATAGATGAACACACTGGAGAAGCAACTTCTAGCATGCTCAACTCTAATTGTCTCTCTTAGAATAAACAGGCTATAAAAAGTGCAACTGTGGGGACAAATTATTAATTCTACATGTTTTAGTATAAGAAGTAATCATAACTTAAATGTTTTTAAATGTTACACGTAATACCTATTATACTTGACATATTACAAGACAATTTATGAAAATCTGATAGGCAACTATATCTTTATTCCAAACTATCCCATATTACACATCATAATTACTAAAGGCTCATGTTTTTTAATCTGAAAAAAATTATATAATGTTTTGAAGTCAAAGACGGGATTCTGATGAGAGTAATACCATAATTTGTTGACATATTAGTGTAACTATTATTTTCTCCCTTAATTCAATTAGTACTCATTAAAACTGCACTAATCTATTACAATAAAAAAAGTTTTACCGATTATTTCCATAATCATGAATGAACACAGTAAATATAAGAGTAATTATAAATCCACTTAATTAACAATAAGACTATTTTCAGCAGAGAAAGATAGTCATTTTTTATTTTTAATATCTGACTGACATATTGATATCTTTGAGAAATTTTTTCTAAAAATAAAAAATACATTATTATTGTACTTCTGTCCATCTTCAACAAAATTTTTCTATTGGACAGGCTTTTACTAAGAACTACATTATCTAAAGTCATAGCAAGAGATCAAAAAGAATCTAGTCTAAGCTACTCAAACCCAAAGTAACTCAAAAATTATATCTATAGTTTAGTAACTCCCCAAATTTTAGACTATTACATATCCTACTTATGAGAGACACAATTTTTTAAAATTTCATATGTAAACTGCTATAACAGTTTTCAAAAATACAAATTCTTTTCAAGTCAAGATCCTGCAAATGTTGATGTTTTAGTATTTAAACTAGCTAAGCATTAAACAAAAACAGATAAATAATATAAACTCTGAAAAAAAAACCTTGCTTTTGCCTTTTTTGTTGTTTGTTTTGTGTTTTTCTTTAAAAAAAAAAAAAAAAAGCATTGCATGTCTTTCAAGAATTAACAAAGCCTGTATTTTCAGGTTTAAAGATAGCAGGCTTACCAGATTTTAAATGAAATATTGAGTGCTACAGTGATTTAATGGTTTTAAACCATAGATGTCATTGTGGTCTGAGGGTGTCACAGACAACTTGAGGGAAAAAAATGGGGCACAGAGAAATCACTTTGTCAGTAATTATAATCAAGAGTCCTAAAATGTGGCTCAGGCTGCTCATTACTTCTTCCTTCTGTATCAAGACCCTTATTTACATTTCAGATTACATTTTTTATGAAACAGTAAGATCTATCAGAGCTGAGAGGACTGAAATAATGAGGGGAAAACATTTTAATAAAACGTGTTGGGTCTGCACTACTTCCGTGACAGAAAGAAAGGTTTCTTCTGTAGTGATGGATCATTTATTCTGCTTCTAAATGAGAAGCAAAAAGATGAAACTGATGAACTTTTACTGCCCATTTGTCTTTAGCAGACAATTAAGACAGAGAAGATCAAAATGGATTATCATACCACGCAGACAACTGGCCCAACAGTAATACATCTCCGGGACCACAGATTTGTAACTCTCTTTTATCCCTCCCCTTTCTTCTTACTTCTTTTTCCACTCTAAAGGCAGTGCTAGCTTTGTGGCTCAAGGAGAGCCAAAAGGCTGGTCATCATTATTCAGTCACAGATGTCAATCTAACCTCCCTTTTTTCTCAGTTTCTAAAGCAGTGAGCCACAATAATTTGTGACAGATTCTTTTACTGTAAGGTACAAAGAACACACAGAATAAAACATCTAGCAGCAGCAAGCGTCTCTGATCAAGTGTGCTGGTACATGGGAAATACACTATATGTAAAAACAAGCACTAGTAGTTTAGGTGAACAAGGAGAAAAACTGGGGAAGGGGGACTGTGTGTGTGCGCACGCGTGCATGCTGTGTGTGTAATAATAAGTGTTGCACTTTGTGGTGAATTATCTCAAAAATCCTTACAGATTACATAATAAATGTTTAATACTAGAAATGTTGTCTAGATTAAATGCCTATTCAACATTTAAGCTTTGTATGTAATAGAAATATTTCTTAGAATTCCTTTATAAGAGATACACCGAGGAGAAAGGTTTAATCTAACAAATATGAAGAAGAAAAAACATAAGATTAGAAACTAAATGGTAACAAGCTAAATAAGAAACATATAGTATGCAGTCTCTTTACCAATAGATACAACTCACAAATAAATTTCTGGGAATTTGGAGGTAATATTTCCAAAATCAAAGTGAATCCTTGATTAATCATTTTTTTAATTATATGAAGTAAAAAAGGGAAATCATGTTTGTCAAGCTGGAGGAGACGCTAAATAAGGCAGAAATGTGCTTTCTCTCTTAAATCTACATCCAATTCATGAGTGTCGTTCTCCAAATTTCAAAACTGTGACACTAGATCTAAACAAAGAAAATAAATATCGCTATCCTAATATGCACTTTAAAAATAACTAAAGCTATTGTTATTTTTTAGGTTTCTACTAGTTTTAATTATTCCAAATTCAATATATGAAATACTTATAAGACCATTTTCATTAAACAAAGCAAAGAGAACTAAGTTCAAAACATAATATCCAATCTGTAAATTGGGCTTCATATGCAATAACAGAGTTGATAATAGTCCATAATTCTCTCTGTACGCACATGTATGTATGGTACACTTAAGAATACGCACAAACACAGAGTCTCCTCAAACACACAAACGTATATGTGTACTCAGAGGAATAAACATGGAAAAATAAACACAAAATGTTTTTTATTTTTAATTTTATTGTAAAGATGTGGGATACAATTCAGGATTAGGTATATAAGTGGAAATAGTACAGGTAAAGTTTGGGCCTCCCTTTGGTTCCCACTTTTCCTGGTTTGAGATCAGGTACCCTTATAACAGATAATTGTTAAAGTGGTTTTCTCTGAGTAGCAAATTAATGACTGTGTTTTCTTTCTTTTTTTTTAATTTAATTGTGCTTTATCTATATTTTCCATATTTTGTCATTAGTATATTACCCATACAATTGTTAAAAGTTACACTAAAAAAAGAAATCATGTTGTTCAAAAACTTTCAGATACAGTAAGAAACTATGTTTAAAAGAATAGATCCAGATAGCAGCTATGCTATTTTAACCTTTCTCCTTTAAAATGATATCCCATTCACTTTTCAGATCAAGGGACCACAAAGGTTATTTACCTAGACACAAGATTTTAGAACAATAATTCTGTTAGAAGCTATAGCCTTAAGTGTATTCTAAACAATACTTTAAGATTTTCTATCCTTTAAACATTGTTTAAAGAAAAAAATCAATAATTAAAAGGTTCTATCATCTTTGGATTGTGTAGTTTAAATCCAAAAGGTTCAGTCCCATAGCAATTCAAGGCAAAATAAAAATTGAACTCTCATAGTGAAAGATAAAGCAAGGAGTGAAAAGATTTTAATATATTTAATAACTGTATTTAAAAGTCTTGATATCAGACACAGAACAAAACGTACCAGTTCTTTTGGGTTCTTGTACTATAAAATCTCATTACAAAGCATCTTTTTATACTGATTACCAGTTACATTCCTGGTCACAATATATCCCCCTTTTTTGTAAAGATGTATCAGATACCTTGCTCTCTATACAACAGGTCATATCTGCAAAGGTTTTACTCCTACTGTACTGGGTATTTTTATTCCATTGTACTTATCTTCATACAAAGACTTGATTAGAAAAAATACTGCATAGATGTACTTCAGACACATGCTTTGATTGTGTACCATATCCCACATGTGAAAGGTTTAACAAAATTGTCTTATTCAGCGTAATCAAGAATGTTTTTATTTTAAAACTGCTTTTTAAAAGTATACCAAATTATATAATTGAACTAAAAATATAAGGTACCCCAAAAAAGCTACAAAACATCTCCAATATTTCTCAAGATAGAAATTGGATATCCAGAATGTATACCCTAGAACTAATTATAAAGAGCAGAGCAGGGTCGGTCACGATGGCTCAGCCTATAATCCCAGCACTTTGCGAGGCCGAGGCGAGTGGATTGCCTGAGCCCATGGGTTCGAGACCAGCCCAGGCAATTTGGCGAGACCTCATCTCTGCAATAAATAAAAAATTAGCCAGGCGTGGTAGCACACGTCTGAAGTTCTGGCTACTTGAAGGGTGAAGTGGAAGGATTGCCTGCAACCAGCAGGTCAATGCTGGGGTGGCCGTGAGTGCGCATGCCTCTGCACTCCAGCCTGAGTGATGGAGTGAGACTCCAACTCAAAGAAAAAAAGAATAGAGCAACATCAGAACTTCAGCACTATTTTGTGAGTAAAATAGTTCATTCCACTCTATTCTATGCTTTCAGAATGCCGAAAATTCAAGGTGGCAGAACCAACTGGCCAATCTTAACTTTCACTACCATCATCAAAACCACCCTTACTCTAAAGAATATTTCTGCATATGTATCTTCTCCCTCCAGTACTACCATACACACAGTTTCATCATCTATTTCAAATTTCAAGAAATGTTATCAACTCTCCTCTTCCCTCCCCACCTTTTTTTTTTGTTATACAGCTTCTTGACTGCTTAAATAGCATTAAAAAAAAAGTTCACAGGCAATCCAAAAGGATTTCCTAATGAACTGTAGACTGCAGCATACCTCAAAGAGGGAAGTAAAATTTGTGATAGGTTTTCTTCCTTACTTTCTGTGCATTTTCCCCCTGAAGGTAAAAACTCCAAATCTAGTACCAATGTTTTCAATCTTCCTTCAGTATGTTTTACTTTTGTCTTTGGTTCCTAATTACTGCTTTTCTTTCCTTCTAAAAATTCATTTATTTCTTTCAGTAAAAAGAACAGTAATAATATGTTGAACAACTCTGAAATAAATTTTGTCATGTAAAAAATTAATTACGCATTCCGAACCTGGTCACTGTAGTCCTCCGGGAATTGCCTCTGCACCTCAGGATCTGTAAATAATTGACAGATAATATTAATTGGCTTTGGATTAGTGAGCAAGCAGAGGATCACACATTAATATTTGATCAGAAGATGATAGCAGCCCTGGCAGGGGATCCAAGGGGGGCAGCTGAGGCTGCTATGTTGATGAGCACAAGGAAGGACTCTGCAAGGCACTCCCATTACCCTCCTCCAGAAATATAAAAAAGAAAAATTTTAAAGACCTGATGCTACCGTTAACTTTAGACTATTACCTAATGCAAAATTTTGCCAGCTGCAAATTGCCTTCAATATATTTTTCCAAAGAAAATGAGTCTTAAACCTGCCTGACTTTTCTTCTCTAATCAGAAGCCTCCTTTTCTTAGTTATAGATGTGGGTTTGGAAAACCACCTTAAGCACCAGTTTCAGATAAGGGAGAAAGGGGGAGTAAGAGAAGATTTCTTTCAATGAATAAATGCAAAACTCACTGCTTTTAAAAATAAAATATATCCTTCCCAACATGCTTATAAACTCTTATGAAAATGCAGGTAAAAACAAGATGAAGTTTCCTTCAAAACAGGACCAATGCTTTTGGATTGTCAGTGTAAACAAAATATCATATGAGAAATTATATTCCATCTGACATAATTAAATTTGCTCAGAAACTATAAAAATACATTGGTAAAAATATATTTTATGACCATGTATTTAAAATGGAGTTATTAAAGGGATCGCTTTATTCTTAAATCATAATTGCAAGATAATCCAACATCATCTTCTATAAGTCAATATAGACATAAACAAATTAAAAGCTATTAGCACTCCATTTACTATTGATTAGGAAAACATTCAATCTTTTCTAATAAGAACAAGATTTGATTCCTCAGGGACATATTAAGGGAGTGATCAGAATGCTATCTATTTGAGAAATCATATAGCAATTCAAAACACTTACAGAAAAAGCACAGTATTTGGGGAACTTCACTCTAAAATGATCACAATATATACTACTTACTTTTTATATCTATCTTTAAAAACAATGCTAAAACACTAATTTACTTCTCTATGAAAGTGAATCTATGTAAAAGCTAAAACTCTCCAAATCCCAATAAGGAAATGAAGTTCATTGTTCTTCAGTAAAGAATCTAAAATAAAAATAAAGGGCCTATTAACTACTACATTTAAATCCTGAAGACACCAGTTTACAAGTCATTAAAGTCAATGGATTTTTTTTTTTTTAAATCTAAGACTGAGAACAAAAGCAGCAATATTCAAAAGGTCACACCAAAAGTAGAGCTTCCCAAATGGGTGGTTCAAAAAAGTTTCAACTATCTGCAAATCATTTCCACTCTTGCGCTGTCTTCCAATTGGTTTAAAAACTGGGGATCAGTTTCTTTGTATACCCTCATCTCCATCTACTAAGAAGAGACTGATGACATGTCTAGACTGTGACCAGCAGTGTTCTGGAATAATGCTCCCTGTCGTACCATTTCAGGGCTTCCTTCCTAGGCCACATAAAGAAGTTGTTGCCTGCCTTTGGCCCTGAGGGCTGAAACCACAGGAGGACTCATCCCTCCAGAGAGAAGACACAAGCTAAATGGCGCTAAGGGTGTGGCAGGAAAAGTACTAGGCCTACAGAGAAGAATTAGCCAGCAGGATGCCAAGGGGAAGCCTGTTGCCCAACAAATCTCTACAAGTGTTAGAAAAGGGAGCAAGAGGGCCTAAAAAAAAAGATGGCAGTGACTATAATTCCTAAAACAGACATTAAAAAAAGATGGCAGTGACTATAATTCCTAAAACATACTTAAAATGTGGTCCAGAGACCAAAAAAATGCAGCTCTAAGCCACTGAGGGACATAATAAAACAGAAGTTGGGAAAGCCGCAAAAATCATTGAAGACTTATTCTTTTTATTCCTATTGACATGTGGTTAATACTTCCTCTTCAACTAGAAAACTTCATAAAGAAACTACTCACATACAAATCTTTAATACCGTGGTCTCCTTCTTGTAGTAGTTTGTGCTTTTTGGGAACCACAAATTACTGATGAAAATAAAACCAAAGAATATTTTTTTATCACTATCCTGCAAAAAAATAAATGTCAGAAACCAAAATTTGTAGTATATTCTTCAGTTTAAAAAAAAATATGATTCCTATTTATAGGTGGGATATGGTTCTTAAATATCTTTAGTCAACTATATGAACAATAAGTCATAAATAATATAAAACTCATCATTTTAAAAATATATTTTATTCATGTATACAACATAGTAGAATTGAACAAAGAGAAAGAAAATAAATGAAAAGAAAAATCAATCTATTGTAACACACTGAAGGTAAAGACCATGGAATGCCAAAATAGAGGCCAAACTGATTTATCCCTAACACTGCCTCAATGATAGGCAACATTAACACCATCAAATTCCTTCAATTGTCCTAAGACTATTCCTAAAATGAGATTCTCAGATTTTTTAACAGAATAATGTTCCAAGATAATACATGCATTATTATTTACTACGACTCAAACATAAAACTTTTGATTCCTTTTCATGAAGGCCCCTGAGGTTTACCAAAAAAAAACCTTCATGGGTCCTTAACATTCTCTAAAGAAATAAAGTACTTAAAAAAATACTTTTAAAAACCAAAGTCTAACCTATAAAGTTCCATTCAATTAGCTCAAAGATTCAGTCTGATAGTTAATAAAACTATGAGAGCCATTTTGTAAAAACACAAAAACTGCAAATGATTTGTTTGAATTTTCTTCAAATGTCTATTTTATACAAGAGGTTAAAATCGTTTTTCACATTGAGTCAATCACAATGCCATAATGTCACCAAAATATCGACATTGGAAACATCTGAGTTGAAAAGGTCCAAATACAATCTGCTTTTCTCAAGCAACACAACACCCGCCTTACTAACAGTTTCAGCATGGCACATGTACAAAACCTAGCACCCTGCAGTTAAGCAAACCGCCTTTAAATTTTCTGTCTGGCAGCAATCCACTTGCGTGTCTGTATGTTTTTACAAGTACTCTATGTATTTCATTGCGTCAGCTGCATTTCTTTGAGTTTTAAATGGTCTGGGAACATTTTATGAAATGTTCTATACCTTTATATGGAAAATAACATACACTGGAAAACTGCATTGGTCTAATATTTATATATCTATTTCTTTATCCACCATCCAATGCTATAATTGCTAATATTCCAAAACACCTTCTCACATTAGTAAGCTCACCGCCAAATGCAGTGTCACTAAACAGCTAACTTCAACACAAAAATCTGTAGATGAGAGTACTACCATGGAAGAAAGTAACATAATTTGCTTAGGCAATTGGCAGTAAGAATAGAGTTATCAGCATATGTCAACTTTTTTCCTTATGAATTGTCCCTCTGACAAAAAATTAAGAACATAATATAGTGGTACACAAGTACACTCTTCTTTCCTTAGCCTCCTTTCTCAGTAACTTTCTCCTGATTTAAGTAGCAGATTCTTACAAACTTAAAAATCAATGTCATCAACTCCCAAGAAAATATTTTCAACAAAAAAAATTGTATGTGAAATATCTTGCCAACAATATGTATAGAGTCCACACATCTTTTAACCAAACAGGTCTAAAAGAGGCAGTCGGCTCTTTCAGATCATGTCAAAGTGATATTCCAGCACCATGGCTATCTAAGAAGCTGTCCTCACAGAAACATGCATCACTTTCAATGAAGGCCACAAGGAAGCATTTTCATATTTTAAAAGAGACATTTCACAGTATAGGATTCCCAATAGCACAATCTCACTGAAACACAAAACATGACCATGTTTAAAAAGCTATGTCCTCACAGCAGAAAAACACTGAACTCCAGAACAAATATGTCTTACTTTTTTTTTTTAACAGAAAGGCTAATTTTCTTCAACCTCAATAGTCTATGTTTTCTAATCTTCTACTATACATACTTTAAAATCTTTAAGATATACCAGATTGCCACAAGACGTTTAATTAATAGAATAAGAGTAAGGGCAAGACTTACTGGAAAGATGCTATAAATTATTTTACACAGGCTCCAAAAACCTTGAGTTCTGCCTTAGGCTTAAAGTTCCTAGAAAACGTGGTATTCAGATCTTTTACAACAGAAATGCAAAATAATTCATAAAAGTATTGTGGTTACATATGAAGGCTCATTTGTACATTGGTAACTAATCTGTGTACACACACATACACAGATCTTACCAAATTATTTTCCTGTTTCCCTCTGTCACACCAATGACTCTATTTAAAAAGTCAAGGCATGACATATTTTTAACTGATTATTAAAAAATACACTAACTTCATTTTGTATGAAACATACAACAACTGCATAAAACCCAAGTGTCATCTTCTATAATGGGAGCTCTTTTAGGAAACTGAAGGGAAACTACAAACGTAGCAGTTAACACGGGAACTGACACTGCTTTCACTTTTAACATGCTAGGTATTCAAAGCAGAAAACATTACTACTACTGAATTTATCCAATTATTACCTCTAGGATATTTCAGTCATTAATAGACAAAATATTGAACCCACTGAAAATTTACAGTTATAAAATCTGACCTTTAAAAAGTGGGACTTGGACATTAGCTGTAAACGATATAATCTCATTGTTCAATTTCATGTAGTTTAAGATACTATTTTCCTCTCCCTACAACCATAAATGTTAATCCAAGCTGTAATCAGATTTAATTTTCCAGATGAGAAGATGGGAATATGCTGCAAACGGGATAACAGTCTACTACTCTGCTATTTCACTAATGACATTCTTAAACTTTATACACTAAAAATGTAGACTCTCAGAAATTAGTCTAACACGTTGTACATTTGAGAACAAGCTCAATCTTTCTCAAAACACACCCAGAAATAAACCTTCTGTTGATTTTCAAGAAGAAAAGTTAATTTTTTGTACAACGCAGAATTAAAGTTTCTTGATAGTATAATTGCAAACTGAACTATACTAAAGAGCTTCAATGATACTATCTATTAAGCCTATTAAAGCTACAGAAT